CCCCAAAACCCCAAAACCCCAAAACCCCAAAACCCCAAAACATTCCACCCAAGTTGATCTCCAACATGGTATTCTGTAAAAACCCAAAACTCCAACCCTCTTCTTCCTAATCCACCCAAACCTAACCCTAACGTCCCCTTTCCATCGCTCTAAGCCTAATTTCTAACCCTTAAAGGTAACTTCCTGCACAACTTTTTACTGTCCCTTCGCCATGAATCTTAGCTTACTTAAAGCATGAGTGGGCAGATTAGTGTATGGGCGCTGAGAGAGACAGAGAGACGCCTGATAGAGAGGTAGAAGAGAGGAGGAATTTCTGGGGATTTTGGGTTTTAAGGGGGTTTTGAAGGTGAGTGTTTTTGAAATTTGGTGAGCAATTTCACCAATGAGTTGGGGGTTGGTTGAGAATTGGTGTTAGGCCTTATGGTATATCTCTGTGGGAGTGGGGTGTGAGAGTGGGGATTTAAGGGGGAATTATTGCCTGGGGAGGTTATAGATGGTTTATTGGATTTGTGGGAGCTGTGGGGCTGTTCCTCTGGTTTTTTTGAGGTCTGAATAGATGAAAATTATCTAGTCATTGATGTTATGTTATTAACTTGGCTTTCCGAAATGATTAGATTTTGGGATTTAATATCGACTCGATCATCTTTATTGAATAGCAGAGGCTTTTAATAATTTTAGGTTACTTATCTTTAAGCTAGGTATTATAAATCAGCTGATATAAGCTGATTTAAAGTCTCCATTACACATTCACCATCTTGAAATTTTATGAAAATTTACAATAGGATTTAGACAAAGTTAATAATGTATCCCAAGTAAGCTGCCCTTTAAGTCATCCAGTTAGGTTATGACATATATGAATGCTAAATATATGGCCAACTTGATTAATTATCTTAACCACCTCTCTTTCAGTATGCGATTTTTGAAAATTTCCTCATAACCAGCTACATTTTTGTATTAAAACTTCAATTCGAAAAATTCAGAATTATAGAAAATAAAGAAGCATCTGCTCTCACCCCAAGATGGCTTGATTCTTAAAGACCATGGCTTTAAGAATATTCAGATCGTTCATTAACCTGGAAATCTTGGACTATGGGGCGATTAATAGGTTCAACTAAAAAATTCTTCTGCTGTTATATAAAACCGTATTATTTATAGTAAACTTTCCTCACGGCTGAAAATTTTTAGGAAATATTGGTGATATGAATATTTTTGATACATCCAGCTTAAGAATTATCAGGAAGCATTGAGTGCCACTTTATGAATTTTCATAAAATTACCCTCACAAAGCATTAGGTTTAGGTACAAATATAAAGCTTCAGAATACTCAAATTTAGTGAAATATTATGAATATTTTTAATAAGTACGAATACTCAAGTCTGACTTCGGTTATGCTCCAGGTGTCCACGGTAGGATTTATGTATTCGGTTAGGATAAGTGAAAATACATAAATCAGAGCTAAAGATTTAATAATAATTAATCAAATATGGACTTCGCAAACCCTTTTGCTTTTGATAATCAGAGTCCCCATCCGATGTGGGACTACGAAACTGTGCTCCAACAGCTTGAGCAGACCGGACAGTGCTGCCCTTTTACTCATGGAGACCAACTAGAGAGTTGAGATGGATATAGTTGCTCAAACCTACAGATTTCTTCGATTTTAGATGCTTCAAAAAGAAACTTGCAACATGGGTAAGTACTTTATTGATAAAACATCACTTAAAATTATTCTTGATTGCCTTATTGTCTGAACTAGTGATTTAGAAGCAAGGAATGAATTGATAAAGACTCTGATAAACCTAATCAACAACAAGTGAAATTAATGGAACTAGGATATAAAACACAAATGGGCCAAAGACGAAGCAAAACATTGACGGAGCAAAATGATGAAACTGATGACCTCCCAAAAGAGGAAGAAGGAATTAGGAAAAGAAGGAGACGTTCTCAAAGACTCAATATCAAAGCAAGACTTATCAGGCTTCGTGACCGTATCCTCAACAATCGAATATCTTCTTTCAGCCGTTCACTGAAAAGAATGAGATCCGTCACCGAAACTAATCTCGACAGACGATCAAAATACATTGGGGTATCCAAAAGTAGTGTTCATTGGCAAGCCCTTATAAACGTAAAGAAAGTAAAGAAGTACATTGGTACTTTTTCTGACGAAATCCAAGCTGCTAGAGTATACGATTTGTATGCTGTAGCACTACAGGGACAGAAAGCATCCCTAAATTTTAATTACACTCCACAAGAGATGCTTGAGACAGTAGAGAATTACATCCAGCATCAAAGAGTCTAAGTTAATGATTAATTATCACATTTCTAGTAACCTTGCTTTTTATTCTTACTAAAACCTCGGAAAGATCTTTCTAATAGTCTCAATATGTGTCTGAGACCATATTCCATATTGACGAATAAATTCTTCAATCTTTTAGAAGATCTAAGGGGTTTTGGGGTTTTGGGGTTTTGGGGTTTTGGGGTTTTGGGG